CACGTCTAGGCCCTAGGCTTGGGTCGTGACAGGTTGTTGGCAGGGTAGTTAGCCCGAATTTGTAAGGGTATTTTAATCTTTTCCCTAAATTATTCTTTTGGTTATTTAAAAGGTCCAAGATGATTTATAGATCAGTTTTTCCCTTTTTAAAAGAGTGAGAGTGAGGGTTAGGGTTCTTGAGAGAAGAGGAGAAGAAGAAGCAAGGTTCGTAGAGATCGTTGTGGATTTCGTCGGGGGTGATCCCTATTAAGGTATGTGAGATCATAGTGTTGGGTTGGCCCATTTCCCCACACACCAAACTCTTTTTAATTCTGAGAAAAGATTGGTTGTGTTGTTGAATTTTTGTGGTTGTTCTTGTTGAAGTTTGTGGTTGTGTTGGTTGAAGTTTGTGGTTGTGTTGTTGAAGTTTCTTGTTGGTTTGGTGCATGTTCCCGGATGGAATTCTGAGTTGAATCTATTGTATATTGAGGGTTTTAATGATTCTAAGTGAATTTGGGGAAGAAACCATTCGATTTTAGGCAAAATAGGGTGAGAAAAACGAGAAAATAAACTTGCTGAAATTTCTGGGTTAGGGGCCTGGCGCGATGAGCCTGCCAGAGCGCCCCAAATCCACCCATAGCGCTAGGGTCACCTGCCCCATCCAATTTGTCGTCGGTTGCCCCGTTTGAGTTCATTTAAAGTGCACCTTCACTCCTTTTCGATTCTAACTACTCTAAGCTACTTCTAAACACCTAAATGTCATTCCTAACATGATCATAATCTTGAATTCATAATTCAAATTCAAGGTAGAGTTGAGAGTTATGTTTTGAGAATTCTTTCGAATATTCTAAGAAAATCCCTTTTGAGTCTTTTTGAGGAGTCTTCTACAATTTCTAGTAACTTGTTTCAAGACTCGAGCAAGTGAGTAAGAAAATGAGAAGTGTCGTATACATGAGTTCTATGTAGTTTGTACACCTCCGAGTCAAGTCGTTCATGCCCATAAATTCCGCATGAACTCCATAAGTTGAGTATCTATGAGAGGAGTAATATCTTCATGTCCTAAGTCTTAAGT